CGGTGTTCTGATCTCGTCGCTGAATAATCAAGCGAATCAGACGGCCAGCCCGACTGAAGAACAAGCTCCTCATTTTTACAAGTGTATGTACACTTTTGACCACAACTGTATGACTCTCCTATGGCTGATCCCTAGTAGAGGTAGGTAAAATCTGACAAAATTAAGCTGTAAAACACAGTTGAGGTTATTCCACGTGTCTGAAACAGAAGCTTTGCTGACTGTGGATTAGCATATGTGCTCACAACATAGTTTAGGAGTAAAAATTGAGAACTTACTGGATGAAGGAGATCAGGGCGAGAAGAATCTGGCTTCACCTTTCCTCTTAGAACCATAGGGTTAAATTCTAAAATCTTATACTGAATGCCTTTCAGCTTGGTCTTCTCTATATACGTCCTTGAGAGAAACAGACAGTGATACCTGGATTCTGAAAGGTGTGAGGGAAGCCTTTATTCTTGATTTAAAGCTGAAGACAGTGACAAACCTTGCTATTTTGACTGCATCACGCAGAGTAACAATGTAGAAGAAAACATTGGAATCTGTGTTACTAATGATGCTGTTGATGGTTGCCATTGTTGCCCCAGTACGCTCCTCGGAGGCACAGATGATAACAGGAACAACATCATCTGTTTCAGCCTCTTCAGCTGGGAGATCTGCTGTTAAACCGTGGCTCTGCCTGTATGCTGAGAGGCACCAAAAATGGAAAGTGGAGATGAGTTAGATTTGGTTGGGATACCCTGAGAGGGATTGTTAAAGGGGCAGTCCTGTGCAAAATCAACTCTTTTGAGCTTTACATCATGTAATAATGTTATTCCCTCATTAAAAACACACCTCGAGTGTTGCCTTGATTGTTTTTTATGCATATTTGAGAAATCCTTTAATCTCCATGGTAACCACTCAGCTATGCTAAACACCTGGGTGGACCTAGCCCCACCTTTGAGGGTTAGAAGAAGTGGAACTGGACATTTGCTGAGCTTATTATACAAGCTACTTCTCAGTGCAACGCTGGTAAAAATGTTGTTAAAGGGTTAATAGAGGAGCCATGTGAGGACTTCATGAAGTCGAAGCTTCAGAAAGAGCAGGAGTTTCTTAAAGAGGCAGAGGCCCAATTTCATGCCAAATTTCTTTTAAGTAATATATACTGCTCAAAAAAATAAAGGGAACATTTCACTTTAATTTTGTGTGGCTCCAAATCCAGGCCTCCATTGGTTAATAAATTTGATTTCCATTGATGATTTTTGTGTGATTTTGTTGTCAGCACATTCAACTTTGTACAGAACAAAGTATTCAATGATTTCATTCATTCAGATCTAGGATGTGTTATTTGAGTGTTCCCTTTATTTTTTTGAGCAGTGTATATATATATATATATATATATATATATATATATATATATATATATATATATATATAT